ACAGCCTGTATAAACTTATTTTTGCCTGAGACGTGATTTCTTTTAAAATTATACATTTCCTCACCCAATTAACTTTGATTAGGTACACTAAAACTTAACCTGAGATTTTTATTTTCTTAAAACGTAAAATGAGGGTAATATTTAATCCTAGCACTTTATACGTCCCAAATAACTCATAAATTCAATTAAGTACTACCATTTTCACCTCATATACCCAGATATTCGTTCCATTAAGCCTCCCCTTTTATAACCATAGTGTCAGTGTCCGGGTGTTCATAAATTTGACTAATCACCACACTTCAAAACGTATAAAAATTTGCAATGTCAGTCATTCACGAGTGGCTCTGATTTTTAGTTAGTTTTATTGAAACTTCGAAGCTTACTAAAAGCATGCAGTTTGCTCAATTTAAATCAATTTTAAAAAAATAAACAGTGACAACCTGGACATCCTACATAAGTAGTAAAAAATATAAATTTAAAAGATAATAAGTCGTCTAAAAAGAACAATAGTTTGACAAAAAGCAACATATTAGGTACATTTTTTATAAAAACATTGGTAATGCCTTATAAAACATACCCATTCCAACCAGTGTCGTACTGGCACGTACCAAATAGTTTGTTTGACCGTTGATTTAACATGTATAAAAAAAAATGTTTAAAATGTTAAACCTACAACTAGACGGGGTGAGTCAGTTTTTTGAAGTAGGATTCCAACAGTTGATAGACATTCATTTTTTAATAAGAAAAGTTCCTACGAACCTAGGTCTTAGAACGCTTCGTTTGTGAGATATAGGGTGTTGAAGACAAACTTTTTTTTAAGAATTTTTATTAATATTTCTAAAACATCAACAGATATTAAACTGAAATTTGGTATTAATAACACATTAGTTATGGTGAATAAAACAGAGATATTTGTTATCCATTTCACCCACCAGTGACGTGTCTGAGGTGGGTTACTGCCTCCTTTAAAAAAATTATTCGTACGCCCGTGGATTTGCCGGAATATTTGGTGTCCCGAAATTCATGCAACAAAATTTGGTCACAGATTCTTAAGACAAATTTAAGGGACACGTATTTTTTATTTTTGCCAAGTGGCCCCTTCTTTCGTAGTTACAGCCCCCTGAAGTCCGCCCCTAAGAATAATCTTTTTTTTATATCTCAGAACCCTGTTGTACGAGAATCACTAAATTTGGTACACAAGGGTTTTATGACATGTGGAATTTGATGGTGCCACATATTTTGGCGGGGAACCCCCTTAAACCATTTTTCGTGGGCCCCCTTGTCTTTGGAGCCAAAAAAAATTGATTACACATTTGAATTTCTTAAAAATTATCAATCCACTAGAAAGCCATTAAATTTATAAACTTTTTGTCTGTTTATACTTTTTTCGTAAAAGGCAATGTTTTCGAGAAAAATGTCAAAATGTAATCGAATGCATATCGTGATTCGCCATTTTCCTCAAAAACATTGCGTTTTACGAAACAAATATCAAGAGACAAAAAAGTTTTTAAATTCAATGGCTTTCTAGCTAACTAATAATTTAAAAAAAAAATCAAATTTGCGATCAAATTTCTCTGCTTCCACAGACAAGGGGGGCCCACGAAAAAGGGTCTTAAGGGGGTTTCTCGCCAAAAAGCGTAGCACTGTGAGATTCCACATGTCATAAAACCCATGTGTACCAAATTTAGTGATTCTCGTACAACATGGATTTGAGATATAAAAAAGACTTCTTAGGGGCAGATTTTAGGGGGCTGTAACTCCGAAAGAGGGGGCCAGTTGGCAAAAAGAAAAAATACGGGTCCCCTAAATTTGTCTTAAGAATCTATGACCAAATTTTGTTGCATGCATTTCGGGACATCCTGTATTTAATGTGATCAAAATGCCAATTTTACTCGAAATCCATAACGATATCAAAATTTTCTTAGAGCAAAAAAATCTTCTAAAATAGTGCTTATTCTTAAAAATATAAATTCTGGCATCACTGGTGTACACACAAAAAAATTACGGGGTAGCCAGTGGCGCACAGGCACTAGAAAAAGAACATCCTGTATATGTATCATAACCAAATTTTTTACTTACTTTGAACTTATATAAAAAATAAGTGTACCAAATTTGAGGTTTTTAAGAAAACTAGTTTTCAAATTATTTGAAAAAAACTAGGTTATCTAGTCTATATTTAGAAGGCTATATCTCAGTGCACTTTTGTATATAGGTAAGTTAGGCTAAATAGTCCTATTTTCATCTAAGGAACCGTAGGTCAAACGTTGTCCATCCTTTTCAGGGACACCCTGTATACATACTTGTACATACAGATAGACAGATTACATTATTGAATGTTTCACGCCTATTTGTGTGGACAATACTGGACTTCCTGGGTTGAATCGCATCTAAGAGTCTCGAGTCTTCTCAAATGAAATTCATCCCGAGAATTTAGTATTTTTAATTTATTAATGTGAATGTCGATACTAAATCTTCATTATGAAGATTAAGAAATAAAACTCATTCCAAATAGAGAACATTACAAGTCGAAGTAGAATGGAACCAATATAAATCGTTTCGAAATTTTGTTAATATGGCCAAAGTAAACAGGGTGTCAAAAATAAGTGCCAAAATTTTAACCGTTTTTTTAAAAACTTAAAAATTTTTCTACCCGTGGAGCCTATTGATGCAATATATTTATAATATTTAGACTAGCAATGAATTTTAAAATATCATATGCTACTCAGATATTCGTTAAATTCATATGCACCTTGTTAGTATTAATGCCAGACAAAAATGTAACTCCGAAAAATATTATTAGACAAAAGTTATTCCTTTTTCAAATGTTTAGAAAAATAAAAAGATCTCTTGCTGAAAATACTAACCCTACGCTTATTACTCATTTTAGATCTATAAATGTACCTGCAGTCACGTCTAAACTACTTGAGAAATTAACAGTTTAACGAATCCTATATTTGCTTAATTTTACTTGAATATAGTAAAGTAGTAAAGCATTTTGATAGTAATTTGTTGTTATTTTTTAAAAATTATAGACATAAAATGTTCTTTTAGATGACAGTTACTTAGAACATGTTTAAAGAAGAGGTTCCTTAGGGTAGTATATGGGACCCACTGCTGTTTTGTTATATATGTAAGATTTGGTTTAATTGTTTAAATTTTTTCATTTCATCAGTTGTCGATGATTCCCAAATTAATTATTCTTTTAATTCTGGTGGCCTTAATATAGCTGTTGAAAAAATATTAATTCGGATCTTGCTGCTATAAACAGATACTCTAATACTCACAAACTTATTAATAATGAAAGTAAAACAAAAACATTCATGCTTGGTCAGCATGGTCATTAAATTTTTGAAAATCAGTATTTAATATAGAATTATACTATTAGAATTATACTATTTACTAACGAAGCTGGTTTTACAAGAGAAGGTATTACAGCATGGCAGCTTGATTAATTGCAGAAAGTATTATCAAAAATTTGATGTTTAATAACACTTTAATAGCGATTTCCTGCTAAACGGTTACATTTATCGGCTTGAACAAAGAGTATGTACATAATCTTTTCTGATATTGTTTCTCTTTTCAATAATGTTTAAATTTCTGTGACGTGTAACAAGAGAAAAAAGATATGAACAAAACAAATTGTGAGTTCTAGCGGTGGATAATGAAACATTTCTCTGACTAGTCCAATAGAGATTCATCTACTTAGTGGGTGTGCCAAATGAGAGACTAATCGAACTAGAATTAAATAAGTTATTTAAATAGAAAAATAAAAAAATTGAACTTTGACAAGCTGTAACTTGCAAACAATAATTGACAATTCAAAAAAAAAATCATTACATACTACTATTATTTTAATCCATAAAATTACCTCCCGGAGTTTCCAGACCGACATCTCGATATGGATATTAGATTTAGTTAGCATCTACGAGTACAATCCGTACAGTATTTGTTGAATTCCAGGAAAAGAATAAGCCAATAAAGTTCTGTTATCGGAAGTACTGAGCAATTTACCAAAGTTATTTTCAGAATATTAAAATACGTATAGGTAAATATTATAAACACGCTGCGGTACAAAAAGAATAAACAAAGAAGCGTGCGTTTAAATAGCCTACTACAGCCCCTGCATTATTAGAAAGAGACGATAATTCTTAACAACAAATTCATAATGCTCGCATTAGGTTTTATTACAATATTAGAAAATTTGATCAAATTTCTACAATATTTAAACCTAATTCTAAATTCACTGCAAAAGTATAATTCGTTACCAGTAAATATTAAATCATCTAATGTTGCTACATTTCGAAAAGGAATCAAGGAATTTTTTACGATTAGTCGAGGTCTTATGTAGTATTCAACGTAATATGTACTACTTATATTGTATACTTTGATTAACTATTTTGGGTAAGAGATTTGTAATTATTTTTGTATTGTATTATTTTCTTTGTTATATTTGTTGTGTTAGAGTAGTTGTGCTGAGCAACTCTGATGGATCTTTACTAGATATTGCCAGTATAATTGTATGCTAGTGGAGACATGTAACTGGTAAAGTTTATTTATTTACTCTGTCTTAAAAAGTTTTAAATTTTCCTAATATATTAAAATATATTTTTTATTCCTCGCATTTTGTTATTTAAAGTTGCCATTTGCAAAAAAATTCTGATAATTTTTCTTAAGGTAATTCTAACTAAACACTATTTTTATTAATTAAATTTTGCATTTACCGAGTTTAAATCTGCAACACAATACGTTACAGTGCAGCGGTTACACTTTTAATTGCCACTTCATGAAAAATGTGTATCGCACCCATAGACCACCGCACTGCTGTCGAAGCGTACATATAAAATTGATATTAAAAAAAAAGTCAGAGATGAATAAAATTAAATAAAATATCGCCCCTTTGTCTACTTTGCTAAATGCCAGAATTTATGTTTTAATAACTTCGGTTTGTCGATACTTCATCTTTATCATATTTAACTAATATTCAATTTGATTTTTTTCAGAGCCCGGGTGAAAAACGGAATTCGTATTCAAGAAGCAGTGCCTGCTGGAGCACCAGCTTGGAACATTACGGTTGACATCAACCCCAGACAAATTGGGGCTACCATAACCCTTGTCAGACGTGAACCTCCTGACACCGAGTCTGCAGCGGCCATTGGAGAGTGAGTTACCATCAGTTAATTAATATTGATTTGATAATTGATAGAGCGTTTATCCCGGACTAACACCATCCATCCCGAATGTCATCAGTTTCAATGAGAGTAGTCAATTGCTTGTTAATCATTATTTGACACTTGTACATTATTAAAGCTTTTCACCGTTTAGTGAAATAATCGCTTGTCCTTTTTATTTTTCTTTTAACATTATTGTTGTCTGTTTCCAAATATTGAATTATCATATTTAAATTCATTGTTAAATATTGAAAACTAGTTGAAAAGGAAAAGGATATGTTAATAAATATCCTGGTGTTTCAGGTACTTAATTAAAAATCTCAGTTTTTCTATCAACAAAATATTAAGGTATTTACATGACACTACACCAGGTACCAATAAAACGGAGTTAATTATTTTGGATGTAAATAAAATACCAGACGAATTATTAAAGGTGTAATTGCAATAAAGCAGGTACTCGTTTCATTTATTGTCTGAAATAGACGATCATTAGTGCTTGTGTCTCTGAGTGAACAGGTTGTATTGCATTGTGTTTTTGGTGTTTATGATTATAGTTTTTCAATTTGAAGTACGTCCGTACGATATTTGCCACTTTCTTGGAATTCTGTCTCAAAACCCGTTTCCCAACCGTGCGTCGCCGTCGGTCAGATCAGAAATGCTTGCCGGTCCGCAAAAAAATAACACTACTTTTTCAAAATTTTACTGAATAGATAACAAATTAAATATTTGAATTATCTATTTGCAAAGGATACGAGCAACATCAATTTTAATATTAAACAGACGGAAGCACCAATTGAATATTCTTCTGATTACATTAAGAATGATTTTTTTTATATATGTTGGTCTTCTGGATGTACTTGTTGAACCCATTACGATGATCCAGTTGCTAAGGTATTTTTTGCGACCTCACGAGAACGTTCGATTGTGTGGATCATAATAAATTATTGACAAAATTATATGCATATGGTGTAAGGGGCGTACCTTTAGATTGGATTACCTCGTTTTTGAAAGATAGGAGACAATATGTAAGCTTGACTCATCATTGTGATGAACACGGTGATTTACACAAAAGTTGAAATAGGAGTTCCTCACGGTTCAGTTCTGGGCCCGATACTGTTTATTTTATACATCAATGAATTAGATACTTTAATACCAGAAATGTTTCTTTCTATGTACGCCGATGATCAATCTGTTATTATTTCAGCTAAATCTGATAATGATGTAGAATATAAATGCAATAGGGTGTTAGATATCTTAAATAACTGGTACGTTTCTAACAAACAACACTGTAATGTAGAGAAAACTCAGTATATAAGATTTCACAATCGTCAAAAAATTTGTAATTCATTGAATTTAAAGATTGGAAAGCACAATTTGGTTAGTAATAATGCTATTAAGTTTTTGGGAATAGCTGTTGACGAAGGTCTAAATTGGAAATTACACTGTGAACAATTGAATATTAAGTTTAATTTCTGTGACATATTTAATTCGGAATGTAAAATCTGTTTTAACTAAAGAACAACTACTTAATATATATTACGGTTTAGTCGAGTCTAGGTTGAGGTATGGTTTGTGCTTATGGGGTAGTTCAACTTTATTTTCAGATATTTTTATTGGTCAAAAAAATATATTAATTGTAAGATGTATGGCAGGTGTTGCGAATACTGTGTCGTATAGGAATATATTTAAGGATTTTATTATCTGTATATGTGTATATAAATAAATATTAATTTTTGAAGAATAGGGATATTCACTGCATTAATACAAGTCAAAATGATAAATATCATATAAATTTTTTAAAATATAAAATTTCATTGAATTCACTTAAGATTTTTAATCATTTAAGTGATCACATTAAGCATGCTAAAAGTTTAAAAAATTTTAAAAATGTGCTAAAAGGATTTTTAGTCGAAAGTTGTTATTATACTTTAGACGAATTTTTTATAGTTTAGTTTGTAAGGCAATTATTTTGACTATTCCTATACAAATTTGTATTTTGTCTTAGAGGAAATAAAAAATTACTATTATCAAAAATTTATTCTGGCACATTTTCAATTTACTGGCCACTGCAATTCGTACACACTGCTATACATTTCAAGCCAACTTTCCTTGCATTACTGCAACTATTTTGGCAGTTATAAAATATTAATTTAAGAGAGGCTGGTCATTTTTCATTGTCTGCCCCAATCGAGAAAATTCCTCAATTCGTAACCATTTTTGCCTGTGCAAAATGAAAGTCATACCAATAAATTAAAACATAAATCGTATACAGGGTGTTTCTGAAATAAGTACGTTCCTTGAAAAGGGTTATAGAAAGCATGAAAACGAGCAAGTTTTTTTAAGCAACGGATGGTCTAAACTAGTGCTGGGAATCATATTCGAATAATTCGAATATTCGAATTAGTACTATCTATAAATTCGAATAAATGTAAATGTAACTATTCGAATAATATGACTATTCAAATTATTCGAATAATTTAACAATTTGAACAATCGAACATTTGANTTTCGGGCTGAAATTTTTACCACTTATTAAGGGTGAAAAAAGCCTCAAAAATCCTGAATTACAAGTGTCTGCGATGAAAATTGCATTAATTATTAGCAATTGAAAAAAACGGCAATTTTCGACCATTTTTGAGCTCTTGTGCATAAACAAATTATCGGAATTTAATCGGACTTTTCTCATTTTATAGGCTTATTTAATACTTACCTACCTTTTTTTGTATAAACTTTTTTCGCTGTGAATAATAGTTTTTTTACGCGAGTCAAAAAACCACTTTTCAATAACTTTGACCACTGTTAAAACAAAGTTTCCCAACTAGCCTCGAGTTGATTTTTTGATATTTTATTTATAACGGGTTTCCGAACAATATGCCGCAGAGAAACTTCTAATAGTATTTTTTTCCCGAAACAGGCTCTTTCATGTCTATAATGACTGGGCTATTAAGGATTTTCGAATTTTAACTTTATGTTGTCTGTGGATTTATGAATTATCTGTATATGTTTGTATAAATAAATATAAATTTTTGATGAATAGGGATATTCACTGCATTAATACAAGGCAAAGTGATAAATATCATATAAATTTTTATAAATATAAAATTCATTGAATTCACGGATATGTCTTGGTCTTAAGATTTTTAATCATGATCACATTAAGCATGCTAAAAATTTAAAAGTTTTTAAAAATGTGTTAAAAGGTTTTTTACGCTACAGTTGTTATACTTTAGGCGAGTTTTTTATGGTTTAGTTTGTAAAGCAATTATTTTGACAATTCCTATACAAATTTGTATTTTGTCTTAGAGGAAATCAAATTTAAAAAATAACCCACAGACTACTACGATTTTTTTTTTGGAATCAGTTTTTTCGAAAATTACTTTGGGGATTTTTTTTATTAAACATGTGGTAACGGGGCGTTCTTCGGTATCACTTAAAACCGCCGTGGCTCAAAATGTACCAATTTTTATCAAGGAAAATTTTTTTATACAACCTCAAACGTTTTATTTATTGAATTTGCGTTTCCGTTAAAAATGTAGATCGCATTGGAAATGTCTGAAAGTTATTGTAAATCTACAATATTGTTCCTCTACTTTCTTGACAAATTTAAGTATTAACGTAAAAACGTATATTCTTCTGGACTTTTCTAAGTTGCACATGCCTCCTTTATTCGGATCTGGAGAAGAAAAATATTTTGAGGCGGTACGAAATAGTTAAACGGGGAGGCTTGTAGAGATATCTAATATTTAAGTTATTTCTATTTGTTTATTTTAGAATATTTCAAACTTCCATTTCTTTTTTTACGTAATTTGTTGAAATAAATGCTACTAGCTATTACTTTTACGTTAATAGTTAAATTTGTCAAGTAAGTAGAGGAACAATATTGTAGATTAACAATAATTTTCAGACATTTCCAATGCCTTCTACATTTTTTTACGAAAACACAAATTCAGTAAATAATACTTTGAGGCTAGGTATATAAAAAAATATTCTTCTATAAAAATTGATGAAATTTGGGCACAATGGATTTAAGTGATGCGGAAGAACGCTACATTGTTAATAAAAAAAATCCCTAAAGTAATTGTCGAAAAAAAATTGATTGCAAAAAAAATCGTAATAGTTTGTGGATTAGCAATTGGATCATCGTAATAGGTTCAACCTTAGAGCATACAACTACTGGAGGCAGCGTAGACGATAATTCTGAACAACAAATTCATAATGCTCGCATTAGGTTTTATTACAATATTAGAAAATTTGATCAAATTTCTACAATATTTAAACCTAATTCTAAATTCACTGCAAAAGTATAATTCGTTACCAGTAAATATTAAATCATCTAATGTTGCTACATTTCGAAAAGGAATCAAGGAATTTTTTACGATTAGTCGAGGTCTTATGTAGTATTCAACGTAATATGTACTACTTATATTGTATACTTTGATTAACTATTTTGGGTAAGAGATTTGTAATTATTTTTGTATTGTATTATTTTCTTTGTTATATTTGTTGTGTTAGAGTAGTTGTGCTGAGCAACTCTGATGGATCTTTACTAGATATTGCCAGTATAATTGTATGCTAGTGGAGACATGTAACTGGTAAAGTTTATTTATTTACTCTGTCTTAAAAAGTTTTAAATTTTCTTAATATTTTAAAATATATTTTTTTATTCCTCGCATTTTGTTATTTAAAGTTGCCATTTGCAAAAAAATTCTGATAATTTTTCTTAAGGTAATTCTAACTAAACACTATTTTTATTAATTAAATTTTGCATTTACCGAGTTTAAATCTGCAACACAATACGTTACAGTGCAGCGGTTACACTTTTAATTGCCACTTCATGAAAAATGTGTATCGCACCCATAGACCACCGCACTGCTGTCGAAGCGTACATATAAAATTGATATTAAAAAAAAAGTCAGAGATGAATAAAATTAAATAAAATATCGCCCCTTTGTCTACTTTGCTAAATGCCAGAATTTATGTTTTAATAACTTCGGTTTGTCGATACTTCATCTTTATCATATTTAACTAATATTCAATTTGATTTTTTTCAGAGCCCGGGTGAAAAACGGAATTCGTATTCAAGAAGCAGTGCCTGCTGGAGCACCAGCTTGGAACATTACGGTTGACATCAACCCCAGACAAATTGGGGCTACCATAACCCTTGTCAGACGTGAACCTCCTGACACCGAGTCTGCAGCGGCCATTGGAGAGTGAGTTACCATCAGTTAATTAATATTGATTTGATAATTGATAGAGCGTTTATCCCGGACTAACACCATCCATCCCGAATGTCATCAGTTTCAATGAGAGTAGTCAATTGCTTGTTAATCATTATTTGACACTTGTACATTATTAAAGCTTTTCACCGTTTAGTGAAATAATCGCTTGTCCTTTTTATTTTTCTTTTAACATTATTGTTGTCTGTTTCCAAATATTGAATTATCATATTTAAATTCATTGTTAAATATTGAAAACTAGTTGAAAAGGAAAAGGATATGTTAATAAATATCCTGGTGTTTCAGGTACTTAATTAAAAAATCTCAGTTTTTCTATCAACAAAATATTAAGGTATTTACATGACACTACACCAGGTACCAATAAAACGGAGTTAATTATTTTGGATGTAAATAAAATACCAGACGAATTATTAAAGGTGTAATTGCAATAAAGCAGGTACTCGTTTCATTTATTGTCTGAAATAGACGATCATTAGTGCTTGTGTCTCTGAGTGAACAGGTTGTATTGCATTGTGTTTTTGGTGTTTATGATTATAGTTTTTCAATTTGAAGTACGTCCGTACGATATTTGCCACTTTCTTGGAATTCTGTCTCAAAACCCGTTTCCCAACCGTGCGTCGCCGTCGGTCAGATCAGAAATGCTTGCCGGTCCGCAAAAAAATAACACTACTTTTTCAAAATTTTACTGAATAGATAACAAATTAAATATTTGAATTATCTATTTGCAAAGGATACGAGCAACATCAATTTTAATATTAAACAGACGGAAGCACCAATTGAATATTCTTCTGATTACATTAAGAATGATTTTTTTTATATATGTTGGTCTTCTGGATGTACTTGTTGAACCCATTACGATGATCCAGTTGCTAAGGTATTTTTTGCGACCTCACGAGAACGTTCGATTGTGTGGATCATAATAAATTATTGACAAAATTATATGCATATGGTGTAAGGGGCGTACCTTTAGATTGGATTACCTCGTTTTTGAAAGATAGGAGACAATATGTAAGCTTGACTCATCATTGTGATGAACACGGTGATTTACACAAAAGTTGAAATAGGAGTTCCTCACGGTTCAGTTCTGGGCCCGATACTGTTTATTTTATACATCAATGAATTAGATACTTTAATACCAGAAATGTTTCTTTCTATGTACGCCGATGATCAATCTGTTATTATTTCAGCTAAATCTGATAATGATGTAGAATATAAATGCAATAGGGTGTTAGATATCTTAAATAACTGGTACGTTTCTTACAAACAACACTGTAATGTAGAGAAAACTCAGTATATAAGATTTCAAAATCGCCAAAAAATTTGTAATTCATTGAATTTAAAAATTGGAAAGCACAATTTGGTTAGTAATAATGCTATTAAGTTTTTGGGAATTGCTATTGACGAAGGTCTAAATTGGAAATTACATTGTGAACAATTGAATATTAAATTAAGTTCTGTGACATATTTAATTAGGAACGTAAAATCCGTTTTAACTAAAGAACAACTACTTAATATATATATTACGTATTAGTTGAGTCTAGGTTGAGGTATGGTTTGTACTTATGGGGTGGTTCAACTTTATTTTCAGATATTTTTATTGTTCAAAAAAAAATATTAAGATGTATGGCAGGTGTTGCGAATACTGTGTCGTGTAGGAATATATTTAAGAATTTTGGAATTTTAATTTTATGTTGTTTGTGGATTTATGAATTATCTGTATATGTGTATATAAATAAATATAAATTTTTGAAGAATAGGGATATTCACTGCATTAATACAAGGCAAAGTGATAAATATCATATAAATTTTTATAAATATAAAATTCATTGAATTCACGGATATGTCTTGGTCTTAAGATTTTTAATCATGATCACATTAAGCATGCTAAAAATTTAAAAGTTTTTAAAAATGTGTTAAAAGGTTTTTTACGCTACAGTTGTTATACTTTAGGCGAGTTTTTTATGGTTTAGTTTGTAAAGCAATTATTTTGACAATTCCTATACAAATTTGTATTTTGTCTTAGAGGAAATCAAATTTAAAAAATAACCCACAGACTACTACGATTTTTTTTTTGGAATCAGTTTTTTCGAAAATTACTTTGGGGATTTTTTTTATTAAACATGTGGTAACGGGGCGTTCTTCGGTATCACTTAAAACCGCCGTGGCTCAAAATGTACCAATTTTTATCAAGGAAAATTTTTTTATACAACCTCAAACGTTTTATTTATTGAATTTGCGTTTCCGTTAAAAATGTAGATCGCATTGGAAATGTCTGAAAGTTATTGTAAATCTACAATATTGTTCCTCTACTTTCTTGACAAATTTAAGTATTAACGTAAAAACGTATATTCTTCTGGACTTTTCTAAGTTGCACATGCCTCCTTTATTCGGATCTGGAGAAGAAAAATATTTTGAGGCGGTACGAAATAGTTAAACGGGGAGGCTTGTAGAGATATCTAATATTTAAGTTATTTCTATTTGTTTATTTTAGAATATTTCAAACTTCCATTTCTTTTTTTACGTAATTTGTTGAAATAAATGCTACTAGCTATTACTTTTACGTTAATAGTTAAATTTGTCAAGTAAGTAGAGGAACAATATTGTAGATTAACAATAATTTTCAGACATTTCCAATGTCTTCTACATTTTTTTACGAAAACACAAATTCAGTAAATAATACTTTGAGGCTAGGTATATAAAAAAATATTCTTCTATAAAAATTGATGAAATTTGGGCACAATGGATTTAAGTGATGCGGAAGAACGCTACATTGTTAATAAAAAAAATCCCTAAAGTAATTGTCGAAAAAAAATTGATTGCAAAAAAAATCGTAATAGTTTGTGGATTAGCAATTGGATCATCGTAATAGGTTCAACCTTAGAGCATACAACTACTGGAGGCAGCGTGCCAGTGGCCGAGTGTAGCGGAGGTTGTAGAGAAAGAGAGAGGTATAGGAGGATATATGCTATCTCTCTCTAGCAGCATGCGATTGGGGGGATTGGGCGATGGGGGAGAGGACGGCAGCTAATCACGTGCTTCTAGAGAGAGCTAGCACATACCTCTCGGCCAATGGGACGCTGCTCCAGTAGTATATGCTCTAAGAGTTCAACAAGTACATCTAGATTCTAGAAAACCGATATATAAAAAAATCATTAAAATCGCGCGTATAAAATTTTTTAGATTAGTTCTTATTGGGTCACACTGTATGTAACGCGAGTATCTAACTTTAATTCTAAAACTCTTGTACCTTTCTAGATTTCAGTGAGAAAAGAATATTCAGAACTGAGTGAACATCCACATGGATAATTTTTGTTTGTTCATGGAATATAAATTTCTCGATAAACAAAGAATGCGATTAGTACCTTCACAATTACATCATCTGTAGGTAAAATGTAGAACAGGTGCATAATTTATGGATTATGCCCAAAAATGTATCTGCTAGGTCTTCGTATGTAATGTAATTGGATTAATGTTTAAAATTTAAAGGATTAATTTTTAAAATTTAAAAGGTTAACAAAATTGTGAAAAAATATAGGCACTTCTTGCATTATTTAAATTTTAATAGTTAAAGGTTAGGTTTAACCTGATGCAAACTACATATTTTCACTCGTTATTAGATATTTTAGGAACTGTTATCACGATTTCCAAACAACGTATAGCATGAGTTTAATAATAATAAAAATAAACAAGTGTTTCCCTTAAAAAATACATCCGTTAACTTAACCAAAAGATAAATAATTGATATACTTATCTATTATTAAAAAGTTAATACGTACATCTTGTTTTAGAGTTACAGAACTATTCACTTGGCTAATAGAAATTACAGAAGATGCAACGGAAGTGTATGACGGAGCTAAAATTGTTTGGACGGCAAGGTTCGAACCGCATCAAGAAGAATCAGAAAATACTGATTTCCACAGAACAGAGGGAAGAAAATCTACTTCTAGATTTGAAATTCAGAAAGATGATATTCAAGCAGTTGTACCAATAAGCAAGGTATTTTTCACATATAACTATAATTTCTACGTATCTAATTCATTAAATGCCAATTCATAATAACCCGGTCCAAGTAGCTCAAAATAGGGGTAAACTTGCAATAATTCGTATAAAGCTGAAAATTAGTACGAATGTTGGGAAGACCATTATAAATGAAATGTGAAAAGTCCCCATCAATCCCACATCTGCAAAAAAATTTATTCATGTCAAAGTTCGCAAATATGGGTTTTTTGCATTTTTCAGCCAAACGGTACGTTTTATCATAAAAATAAACATTGTAGATCATGCAATTATCTATAAAAATTGTTCTTACACTTTTTTTCCCTAAGAATCACCATTTCTGAGATATAGCGACTCAAAAAGTTGAAAAAGTTGTGTTCTCCATAATATGCACACTTTCCACGCCACCTGTGAGGTAGTGTACTTGACGCGTTTTCCTAACATGGTTTCCCCGGTAGGGAAATAATATTGTATTAAATAAAAAATTGTACTATTGGAAATGCTGAAAGCGGTGTGAATTATGAATAATTGGGAAAACTATTCGTCTGATTGATAATTATCTAATAGAACTACAAGTGTAATGTCTTCTTCTTTTCCTTCTTCTTCTTCCTGCTGGATAAAAGTAAATTGTTCTAACAGCGATGCATCAGGTGTCTCCTCGCTGATATCGTAGAATCCTCTTCTGATGGCGATTCAACATTGGAGCACGACTGGCCTTGGCAACTGGTACATGCTAATGAACAAAACAATCCAACTTTTTTGCAGCCGCACTTAGCACTACACCCCTTTTTGCAATTGCAAAAAATTGTATTGAGGAGATTTTCCGGTGCAGGTGGGAGGAAAGTCTGGATTGGTTCCAATGTATTGTCAATTAATTTCCAACCCCAGTCTTCTGGGTCCAGTTGATTACCAAGCCACACTTGATAATACCCGAAATCAGAGCTGGGCAAAATACTTTCAAAATGTATTTAAAATACAAATTACAAAATACTAGTACGAAAGTATTTTAAAATACTTAAAAACAAAATACTTCTTTGGCAAAGCATTTTAAATATAAATTATTTAGTATTTAGTATTTAAAATACTATTTTAAGTATGTTAAATATTAAATATATTGAAAATATTCATTAAAAGTATTTAAAATATTTTTGTGAAATATCAATCTTAAGATGTAATTAAAAAATATATATTGTATGTACAAGGCAAGCCCAATTTCAAGATCATCAAAAAATTAAAAAAAAACTAGACATAAGTCTGGAAACATTCATTTTCATTTGGATTACTGAGATACAGAATATTTAATTCACTTATAATTTTTCATTAGTTTTTCTTAGAATAGCCCACTAATGATAAAATAAAGTATTTTAAATCTTGATAATTGGCTACTGACTTGTACAGTGATGATAGTGACCAAAAATGTAGTAGACAGAATAGCAATAACACCACGCACAGCAGTGCAGGTGCGTAATTTTTTTATCACGTGTTATATCAGTCACAGGCAAACAGAATTTTTGCTTTTGGTATTTTGGGTATTTTAAATTTTTCGAGTCATTTAAATACTTTTTTAAAATACAAAATAGAAATTACTTTGTTAAAGTATTCGAAATACAAAATATTTTTGGAGTTATAATAAAAGTATTTTAATTACAAAATACTATTTTATATTTAAAATACTATTTGGTATTTTTTTGTCAAAAGACTCCCAGCTCTGCCCGAAATAGATGTTGATGAGGAGAGGTTGGAGGAAGTCAAGCTAATTGCACTCGTTTATTGCGTTGTTGTTGCACTCGATGTTGTTCAAGGTTATATGGGTATATAAAATGAGAGACTGTGTTTCTTTTCTGTTTATATTCTCAGAATCGTACAATTTGGACGTATAAGTTACACAGACCGATATATTTACTTGTATTACGGGTCCAGTGATGTATACCTATAGGCGGCGTACATATTATGAAAAATAAAACTTTTTCAACTTTTTGAATCGCTATACCTCAGAAATGGTGATTCTTAGGAAAAAAAGTGTAAGAGCAATTTTTATAAATAATTGTATGATCTACAATTTTTGTCTGACCTATTTTTATGGTAAAACATACCGTTTGGCAGAAAAATATAAAAACCCATATTTGCGAACTTTGATCTTTCTTACAGATGTGGGATTGATGGGGATTTTTCACATTTCATTTATAATGGTGTTCCCAACAATCGTACCAATTTTCAGCTTTATGCGAATTATTGTAACCTTGAATGTCTATTTTCACTGGGCTATAAGGGTAGACAGTTAAGTTGTTCAGACGACTCACAGCACGCGATTGAGTGGTACTACTCGGTGGTGTGACCGAGTCAACTAAAGGCACCCAGCACTTTGTATTTTTGCTTTTGAAAATTTATCACGATTCCTAAATGGACGGACGTTGTTTAATTGTAATAATAAATCTATCTGAATCTAAGTTTGCAATCGCGTACACGTAGATGTACTATAATACAGAGCTACTGAAGTCGCTGGACTGTGCTACTAAAGTAGAATTTACAGATCACACTCTGATCTATAAACAAAACGAGCCAGGCAACTAACTTGCAGGTTTACAAATAGGTATGGGAACAAGTAAGCAGGTGTTTCTAAACTCAAAAGATTTCAGTCAGTGAACTGATCACCATGAAAAAGAAATGCTACTCAGTCCTTTTTGTATGGACTCCAAAATCGAATCGTTTACAGATTGCATCGGTGGATCTAGTGTATCCGATTTGGTTGGTCGGCACTAGTCATATCAATATTCTCAATCAGTAAGAGGGCTAATTAACGAATTATTTGCTCGCTGAAAGACATCACTCAAACCATTCGCCTAACTCACCTAACTCAACCGTATTAAAAAGTATTAGAATGCCATTACAGACATATTAAAAAATGTCTTTATTTTGAGTCTTTCATTAAAAAAAAACATCATTCCCACAGTTGAATACTATTTTTAGGAACTTCAACGAAAAATGATAACATTGTTGGTTTTTATAGTAGAATTGTATATTTCTAAAGTGTCCTAAAATTCATGCATACGGGGTAAATGGCTTCCACGTCTTTGCTGGCACATACGCACTCATTTGTCGAAATTTGCCATGACCGTTTTGCATAAATGCGATTAATTTCGTTTATATAGCGCTTAATTTCCTCTTTCAATGCGTGGGTGGTCGTGAGCTTGTTGGCATAAACCTTAGACTATAAAAAAAAAACTGAAAAAAGTCCAACGGCGTTAAATCGCATGATCTGGGCGGCCAATTCTGATCACTAAAATGGGAAATTACTGGGCCAGGAAATGACTTATGCAGTAATTAAATTGTTTCTCGGGCTGTATATGGCACCGTCTACGTTCATATCTTGCTATTTAAGCACAAAAAACTGAATTATCATGTCGTGATAGCGAACACCATTAACTTTATTGCCTGACCAGCCGCATTTTGGAAGAAGAGGGGTCCGATCATGTTTCCAGCCCAAAATCCGCACCAAACAATGACACGTTGTGAATGCATTTGTTTTCTCAACAATCACTCGAGAATTTTCTGAACTCCAAATGCGATAATTTTGTCGATTAACGAAGCCATCGACATATTTATTTAGGCATACCCATATATAGGTCTGGTCGAACTAAACGTGCAGACGGTAGAAATGTATACGCGCCATTATTCCATGGCTAGAAATTGGCCTCAATGATTTGGGATCGAGGGGGATTATCCCTCTTTATCCTGCCTCATCTCGTGTAGGCCTGGACAGCCTTCGTAGGTGGGCCCCATCCGTCGTCTACCCCGACCGCAAATGCGGCCGGTGTAGGCGCTTTGTGGGACCTCCTTTTGTCCTGGCTGGGTCCCGCCGGCTAGGGCCCTTTCTTCTGGTGCTCTTCTTGCTTCGCCGGCTCGTCTGTGTAAACCCCGGGGGTAGTGTCATGTTTATGTGTGGTATGGTTGGGTAGGGTAGTGCGGCTATGCAGCCTGGGATGCGCTTTGCTAAGGTGGCCCTTAGCGCAGCGCGGGAGGGGAGGGGAAAGGAGGGTATGGGGGGTGTGTATGTGTGTGTGTGTGTGTCGTCTTCGTTTCTTGATCCTGGCTGTCTCTGAAACAGAAAAGGTTAGCGGGCAGGGGGGGGGGGGGTTGGGGTGGTCACCCGGGGTCAAAAAGTGTCTAGGTCTTTTGTGTTTGTCGGTCACGTCGGGTACGTAGTCAACGGCTTGCCTGAGGAGGGGATTGTCATGTCTAGCGGCTACGTCAAACCGTTTCTCCGCGTTTTGTCTTATTGTCTGTGCAGCGTTTGTGTATTGTAAGTCTCGTAATATGTCAGTGTTTCTTACGTACCAGGGCGCGTCGGTGGCCGTGCGGAGGGCTATGTTTTCCAAAGCCTGTAATGTTCGAAAAATCAGCATCCACTTGTTCTATAATCTATCCAAAGAACTGCGTCGTCAGTAGGCTTCAGTTCTTAAAACGTCCAATTCTTGACCACGATATCGAATTGATGTTCGTGGACTCTCAATAAAACTCTCACGAATTGCTTCGATGTTTTGTGTTGAAATACTTGTTGAAGGACGGTCAGAGTGTTTATAGATTGCTAATTGATCCAGTCTCCCTGAATTCCTTCAATTAATGTCCTCATAGTTGGTGACGCTAAATCACTATTCCGACCATATTTTGTACGAAAATTGCGAACTGTAGCTACCCAACCTTCATTCTTTTTTCAAATATTGCTCAACATGAAAACACATTGTTCTTTCATGTAGTGCTCCATTTTTAATAACCCTGAAGTGTCAGCTGTCAGCCTGTCTTTTTTTCGTTGGCAAGACTTTACCGCACAAATGACGCAAAATTCAAATATTGCGTGAATTTTGCGACACCCTATATGTTTGTAGTTGGAACTGTATCCATACTCCAGGGTATTTTCCAAATCCATGTCTTAAGTTAAACACGTCCTTTGGATCATTTAAAATTTAAAAAAAAACTTAAGGACAAAAGTTCTAAATTTCCTT